ATTCACAACGAATGTCTCACGTGCTCGATTCAACAATACTCAGTTCAATTACACATTTTGCCGTCACGTTGTGACCATCTTATATATACAAGACTAACACATATCTAGTAAACACTAGAGCATTCATGAAGGAACAGGATATTTCTAGAGTCAATGACGTGTTACTAGCGTCACGTGACCTACGTTGTCATAACAGTACTTTAATTACGTTTTGAATGTAACTCAATAAAACCTCATGACATGTACATAAAAGGATGCCTGTAGTAAGAGGGTTAATAAGGAGCCCTCCTAGACTCAATGAGCCCCAACAGCAGAGGAATCAAGTAAAGAGGGACAGAGCAGAAGAAGAAGAACAGGCAAGTGTGGCAGAGAGAAGGGAACAAACTCTACCAGAAAATCCAACTGGAGTACAATGAAGTGCCCCAACAAAAGATGGAGGTAGGAAAGGAAACATAAGAGGGTGATGAGAAAAAGATGAAGACACAAAAATGGGGAACTGGAGATTGAAGTAGAAGGTAATGGGTCCAAGCAAGCAAAAGATATACCAAAGTCAGAGAACCTAAAAGAAAAAGGAAAGGATGAATGTTTGCAAGTCAGAACAAGAGTCATGAACATGAAGAGGATGAGGCATGTGGGTGCAAGTGTGGAGTTATTTGAGAAAGGAAACAATATAAACCTTAATATCAAGAGAAAAGACAAAGAAAACCAAAGAATTGGATTCATGGAACAAAGAATGGGGAATATTAAATAACACAGGCAAAAGATAATGAAAAGAATATACCTGAGAGAGCATTTCCAGAAATAGTATACATGGTTGAGGTCATTTCTAGGTTGTTAAGACAACATCCAAAGCAAATCAGGTTAAAATCATTATCCAACTCGTCACTCACAACTGCAGAGAAAGAATGTTGATTAAATGGAGAGGAGGAGGGGGCCTAGTACGAATGAGGTAATCCACTACACATTGAACAAAGGCTGTAACTACTCCAATAGTAAAGAAGTAGAAGTCACCACCACTTGAGAATTTGTGAAAAGAACTGAAGCTTTTGAAACAAAAGCCAAAGGAAATGAAAACCAAAGTTTCGTTAACAAATACAAATCTCGACAGATTGAACATGTCTATTCAATGCAATGCAGAGGAAACGAGAGATGTTATCACAGGTGCAAGTGCATAGGGGAGTTACTATGCATGGAGGTTGAGTTGCCCTCCAAGTGGTGGAGAGCTATTGTTGGATGATATTGTCATCATGCACCATCCCCCATTGACGTTAAACACATGAATTTAGATGGAAGTTAGCTCAAGGCTAGTAGCATGCAAATCTTGTAGGCAGACATATGAAGGAGATAGCATTTCTGTATGAGGAACTGAGTTATTGTCTAAGAAAATTTATTAGATGGCTGAAAGTCAAAGGCAAAACATATCTTCCTAGTTATAAAACAAAGAACAAAAAATTAATTTTAAAAGATTAAAAACACAGGGGAAAACAATTCCAAGAAATGAATCACCTGAAATTTTCATTAGTAAGAGATTATAAGAGATTTATGTTTGAAAAAATTCCAAATTTTGAAAGTAACCCCAAATAGTCCTCCAAGCCCATTCCTCTTGCTGTGGTTTTGCAAGACAGTAGATAGGGACTGTGGAAACCTTGTTAATCCATTCATGCACATCACTTAATTAGATGGCAAGCCATTTGAAGATTACACAGCAAAGACATTCAGCTACTAAAAAACCTTGAGTATTTTTAAATGGTGGAACATGAATAAATAGGTTCCAAACTACATGCAAAACACTCAACACTACTAGGACTGAAACTGAAGTCATACAACCAAAAAGTTTAAGAAAAGATCATCATCAGAATTTTGAAGTTACTGTAAGTTCATACAAAAAACAGACTTAAAAATTCCAAATGTTCTAAGATTAATGTGGATGAAAGATCTTTTGATAAGAAAATATTAAATATCTCCCAAAAATATCTTTCCTTGAAAATCACTGAGGAAAATTAGAATGAGTTCACATAATCAAAGATTCCACCAGAGGATGTAAGAATGACAAACCTCTTAGAACTTGACTTTATAAGAATCCCTAAAAGAGATGTAATCATATGCTGGCAATTAAATATATTATAAACAAGTTAGTACAACAGCTAAGACTTTTGAACTGATTCACCAATTTTAAACATTTTCAACTGAAAATGGGGGATAACATTGAAGAAGGTGGGAACAGATGCCAGTTATATTAACCCTAAGTAAACATGTGGGTCAAAGTGTGCATACCACAACCTTTTACAGAATACCATTCAACATTGTGTTAGGTATTTGATGTCGGAGTTATCAACTATTCATTTTACCCTAAATTGCTGACTTAGTGAAGTTTGAGGTGGAGGAGAGTATATAGAAGATACGTTATACAGGAATACAGAAAATAACTGTGGATATACATTTCACTGATTCTAGAAGCTATGCAATTGCAATATGTAAACTGTACAATGGACAAGAATATTTTTATTCTTCACAAGAACATCACCTTGCACTCTGACTTGTTAGAATCCAAGTAAGACAGACATCTTCACTTCAGACATATGTTGAGTACAAATACTTTTGTAACACATCTGAAGTTTTGTGTAAAACAGACTTGTACATTTTACAAAAAGCTTGCCAGATTTTATGTATACAAACATAGCAAATTCAGCATTATAGTCAACATTCCTTCTCCAATATCGGGTCAACCCATTGCTGTGCACATTCAGATAAGTAAGCTGAGCCATGACAGTGGAACACATAGGCACAGTGTGCAAACAGATACAGGTAAATTTTAAAAATTGTTTTTAAAAAATAAATGTTAACCTTCTCTTTAAGTACTGGTGACCAATAATACTACTTCATGCAAATTTCTTTATATCACTTGATAAATATAATACATTGTATAATTTATATGCAATTCCAAAACAAATACTCCTGTCTCTTAGAAATCAGCTACGTTAACCAAATTCTCATTCTGATCTAATAAATTTTCTTAAAGCCAAAATGAATAGTTCTTACTACTCTTGCAAGTAAACATCTAAAGCAGTCATAAAATATTCTAAATGCACTAAAACAAAATCAGAAACACCAACTACTACAAAACAATCAGTGTCTTATTAGATTTATAATAACTAAAATATCAAAATAAGCAAAAACTAGGACAGCATAGAAGTGTAGACAAAATCACAGTGTCATATATTTCGACTTGAAACATATATTTAGATAAAACATTCATTTTCAGTCAACTTACATTTCTTCCCGTGCTGAAACTATAATAATAATCAATACATTACGATATACAACAATGATCATACTTACGTAGCTCATTCCATTAGCCTCACATTCATACAATAAGTCATCCACTTCAAGCTGCTTCATTAACTCTGTTAATTTTCTAGCTTTCCGAACTTCACTTTGCTCGATAATGGTGCAGAGATATTCAGTAAGTTGCTCTTTTCTTTCCATTTTCTTGAAGAGTTTTTGCTTGGCCTCTACAAATTCCTTTTCTGCTTTATCATATCGTTTTCTAACAACAGAAAATTCATTGAACTTCAGAATTTACAGCCAACTTTCTACTTACAGCTTGTTTGGGTGTTTTTTTAAAGAGATTTTCCAATTACCCTTCATTTAATATGATAGACATCTTCCGTAAAAACAATTTAAGATTACCTTTTTTAATCCTAAACTGATGTACATGAAAATGTTTCATATATGGAACGTAGTACAAGATCTGTAACAAGCTGAAAATATGATTAATACCATTTCATGGGTTACTTTCTACAAATTTTCACAATACTACACTACTAGAACTAGATAAGCTAATCCTTCATTAAAAATAAATATCCTTACATTTCTTACTATAGCTCTAGTAAAGATTTTTGTCACAGTGTGTGTGTGTGTGTGTGTGTGTGTGTGTGTGTGTGTGTGGTAGATGATATATAATTCAGTGAAAAGAAATTCACTTTGATCCTAGACAAAAAAGACAGTACAATATTTACTATTTGGCAAGAAAACTTGTGATGATATTAGATGACCTCTTTGGAGAAATAAAAATGATTCATAATTTGGAAGCTGAAGTTTTATACGATATATTAAAATCGTGGCAATAAAAAAAATTTATAATCACCAACATTTCATACTTTTTAAATTCTATCATCAGCATAAAACACTTAAAAAATAACCAACAACTCTGTATGTATAAAATATATGTTTTAAAGTGAAAATTGTTGATATGGGCAGAAGTTTAGAGAGAACACATTAAAATGATTAATTATGTTTAAATTTTACAATACAGTCTGGTAGGAACTGCATGCTGATAAATCATCAAATTAAATAACTTAAAGCTTACAGTACTAGGTAGACAATGTTTAACAGGCACATAATGACAACCACACTTTTGTTTAAGTTAGTTGTAATCAAAAAGAAATTCTATTTGTGTAAATAGTCTGGTAATTTCTGGTAAATACTGTTAACCCTACATCAACAGCACTAGTCCATTGGACCAACCTCGTATCTGTGAAGCAATACATAATAATGTTTACTATAACTCTGAATTTACTATATATGTATCTTCATAACATTTGGCAAAATTTTAATAAAATTACAAATGTGTTGTGTACAAAAATCAGATTTTCTTAATAAAGTATTTTTTACTAAATATTTGTCGGGGAAACTGCAAGATGGTTTTCATGTTAATAATAAAGATACTTTTTCATCTCACAGGTTTCATGTTTCATTTGCATAACCATTAAAATTTCCTAAATGAATATCAAATATTTTTTTTTTGGTAAAACTTCGTATTTTATCTGTTATTTTCTTTACATAATACTAACTGTGGCAAAATGTATAATGACATGAAAAGTTGAAAAATATTAAAAAAATGAACAATACTCTTCTTCTTGTTTGAATGGATTATTTCAGTGAATTAATGGCTTTCTTATGTTCAGTTTCAAATGCTAACTTTTTCACATCTGTTTTCTATAATTTAATGGATTTATTACTGTAGTTGGTACCAAGTTGAGCATTAATCCTCCTGTCAAATGGAAATAAATCACAGCAGGGCATTAGTGCATATTGTAAACACCATGAATGACGTGTGCAAACCACATGATCTTTGTGAGTGCAAATCATAATTGTGCTAGGCCTAACTTTTTTCATTAAATTACTTCTTTAAATAAAAATTAATGTAGCTTTCAGAAAGGTATTTTATAACACAAAAAATATATCAAGCACTAGCACATAATGTCCTAAAACTATTAAAATTTAACTGGAACTCTAATTTAGCTATAAATAGGTTGAAAAAAAATTTTGTTAGCTGCTTAGCACTGAATATTAACATTAAAACACTAGCCATCTGAGGGTAATTTAGACCGAAAATGAAACAACCATAATATCATTCTGTTAGCCAGGAAATCACTCTTGCTATTGGTTATAAACATGTCCATCAAGTAAGGAAATGTGGTATAGATAAATCTATTCAAAGCTATAATAACATTGAAGGAACTTTACTGATAGGTGTATCAAAGTTATTTATATTTCAGCAATTCAAAACGATAGGTCCACATTTTGTATGCTGGACTGTCAATACCTATAGTTTGTGTTTCTAATTTGTGGACACTCTGAAACTCATAAAAAGGAATAATGAAAGTCTAAAAAGGAGAACTGAAAGGGGAGATGCATCATATGACACAGAGAAGTGGACTGAGAGTTTATTTCAATATTTCCCTTTGAAATTAATAAATCAAAACTTATATAAGTCTGCGAATCATAAACTACATTTTAATGTCAAGTTTATTAACATACATACTAGCAGATTCAGGGGGGAGTATGGGTTTGCAGCTACCTCCCCTCTTTTCATAATTTTGTACCCTTATGCTCTAAAGTGCACCCCATTGAACAATAAATCATTTCAATAAAATATTTTATTTCTTGCTTCTCCTAGCTACAGTCCTATAATTTATAATATTATATTTAAGTTTGATGTATTATCTGGCTGCATTGATATAAATGATGTTAAACTGAAATTATATGGTTCCCTATCCCGGCAACTGCACCCCCCTTTCCAAAATCCTAGATCTGCTACTGAACATATACTAGTAACAAGGTTGTACTATAATAAAATAATGAATGTAACAGTGTAAAAGATCATGACATTTACAGTTTGACTGAGCCATGATCGTAAGTTTAAATGAGCAAGTTATAAAGCAATATAAATTTTTTTCAGAAAATTAAAATTAATAACTATTAACTTATTACAACTTTTTTTATTAAAGCCATCTTATGCTAAGTAATATTATTTACATTCGTAGATTATAAGTAAGCAATATATTAAGTTAAAGATACACTACTGTTTAGTCCAAACAAGGTGAATACAAAGAATACATCACTGTGGCTAGTTATTTAACTAATGGCCACAAAGCCATATATTCACATTCATGAGTTTTGTAAAAATATCACATGCCAACAGAAGTATTACTAGATATTGTGCCGTGTGCAATTTCAGTTGACATGCATCTAAAACTGAAAACTGAACAAGCATGTTTGAGTCATGGTAAAGCTCTTAAGGCTATCTAAGATGTTATATGTAAAGTTCAATCCTATTTATTCGTAAAGAGTAGTCCAAGAGTTGGTGGTGGTTGCTGCCAGCTAGTTGCCTTCTCTCTGGTGAGAAGCTAAAAAGTATGGAAGATAGCAAACAGCCTTAGTATTACTGCCATAACTTTAAAAAAAAAAAGGAATATATACAACACATTACAGGAATTCAACTCACAAACCTCAAATCATGAGGCAACCTCCTAATTACCATGTCATTCTTGTCTATAAAAAGTGGAATTACATAATTATCAAACAAGTACAAAAAAAGATTTAAACTCACAAAGATCCATAAAACAAAAACAATACAAAAGTACAGCCACTAACCAACAGCAAACATGTTTATTTATATATATTTGTGTGATGTAGATGATGCTAATAATGAACAAACAAGACTGTCTGAAATGCTCATATACCTTAACTCTTTCAGCACGGCTCTGTTCCTAGGACTGACCTCGTAACCATTTTCTTCTTGTTATAGTTTTCATGCTATAACTTTTTAATTAGTAAGCATATGTTAACGAAATCTAGCAGATTATCAGTAAACATTACAATGCTTTCATTTGCAAAATATCAAATTTTTAAATTAAGTCTTGAGGTTTGTAAAGCAAAGTTTTTTTCATGCCTTTTTTTTCTTTTCACATGTTGCCTATCCAGCATTTAAAGTAATTTTCATTTTACAATTAAAGATACTTTTGTACATCAGAAAATTTTCAAATTTCACATGCAAAATTTTTATAATGTCCAGATAGTTACCAAATGTTTCTTAAGAAAATCTTTCTATTTCATTCGTTATTTTCAGTAACAAATCTCTCTACGGGATCGGTAGATTTGACCAATCTCGTAACCAACACAAAAAATTAAGAAATAAATAAAAATTATGCCTCTTTCATTCTAGAATGA